CATACTAGCTCAGCCTCGCCCCAGATCATGTGGTCTTAAGAACATTTTTTTTATTTCACCCGCACTGAGACTGACGTAAATTTATTGGTCAGCCGGGCTTGCACGGTCGATGCTAACGGTAAAAGTAAACACACACACACACACACACACACACACACCGTAGACACCACTCCCACCCCCAGATCAGGACAATGAGAAGCGCTTTGTGTTTTCAGGCGCGTTGAGATTGACGCACTTCCGTTGGTTAGCGGGTTATTAGCGCGGTCGATACACATCGTCGATGCCAGTCGATGTCAATGAGGAATACACACACACACACACACACACATACACACCTTCGTAAGCGGTGCAATTGTGGGCATTACGACCGTGACTGGAATCCCCAGCTGAGTGCCGTGCCACGCGAGAGCGAGGGCGTGATTTCCCGCGCTGGCAGCGATCACCCCCCTCTTCCTCTCCTCCTGTAGTAGAAGTACAAATGAGAGTAGTAGTAGTAGTAGCCGTAGTAGTAGTAGGAACCCAGGGACGCAAAAACGGCGAAAACAAAACGTGCTGCAGCGTCAGAGGAGGGTCAGGAACGGGGGTAGCTTCTCTCCCTACAAAAGGAGCAACAATTACAACAGCTGCATGTCCCCCCACGAGCATGGGCACGATTCCCTCGTGCGCGTCCTTTGGATCGATTTTTTTCGAAAGCGTTGATTGCCGGATCTAGAGATATGGGTTAAATACACGTCACTTCCCTCTTGACGTAGCTAGTTGGTAGTACCGACCCTCTCTTCAGACCGAACCTCTCCAACCCCGACCTTCTCCTAAGACCGACCCCCTTAAGACCGACAATTTCCTAATACCGACCTTCCCCTAATACCGACCCCCTCTTTTAGCGCTTATTGTCCGCAGAAAGCGAGAGTGCTTTTGTCGTGCAACAACAGCCAGGTTGTCGAATCGATGCTCGGTAAGCGAGAATAACGTCTCGTATCTCATAGACAAGGTGATTCTCCACGTTGAAACTCATGCTACAAAGTCAGGTCAATCTCGAGTAGTATTTGCTTATTGAACAGTCGATAACTACCGTCTCGAGATGAAAAAACAACGACCGATGCTTGACCATATTTCAGTAAGTACAAGCAATTTACCGTGTGACGTTAAAAAGTATCGATAACGTTAACTTGATGAAAACAGAAAAAAAAAAGGCAAAGGAAAGGGTGAGTCGATTCTTCCTCACCTCGTCGAGACACATGAGAGCGTTTCGCGCGCCTCTCTCCTTGAACGATCCGGTGAATTGGCTGAACTCCTGCTTGAGGTACACCTGCAACAACAGGGGGGAGACAAGAGGCAAACAACAACAAAAACGACAATCTCAGGCAAACAAGAGCGGAAAATGAGCTGGCTGACTCAAAAATTGATGGCCACCCGGAGGAAGCGCAGGAAATTCATCAGCGCCAGCAGCAACATCAACAGCAAGCGAAGATTCAACAACCAACCACCAATAACATGCGACGGAGGGCCTTGCGGGGGCACCCGGAAATGATATATAGTTTATGAGAGAGAGACGCAGGGAAAGCTTTGGATAGGCAGAACACGAGCGTCTTGGAAACCATTTATCCTACAGAAGGATAAAAGTGGAAACATCTTGTCTTCATGATGAACACCCGGATGTGTACCTGCCCCCCCAACATGCCCCCCCCCGCCCAAGACCCTCCCCATAAAAAAAAAAACATTCATGCAGGTGCAGGAGCGGTACATAGCACGTAGGCCAAGGCAACAACCACACACGGAACCGAGACACAGCGGCTGACAGCACGAGCGAGATGCGGTACGATAGCTCGCACCCAGACTCCGAGTTATTCTGTTGTTTGACGCCCCAAACCACTCCCATCAAAACTCGATTATATACTTTGCTACACCTGTGGACCCATCCAGCCTACGAGTTGTCTGCCACAACTATTGTAACTCCCACAAAAACTCCCAAGTCTTGTCTTGTTGTCCGTCCAGCCTACAGCAGCGCAACCCACACACACTCGCCTCCATCCCGCAGAGATCGCTCAAGAAATGGCTCCTCTTCATGTCTGACCGGACAATTCCGTCCCGAATGCGGTGCATCGCCTTGCTTATGTCCTGCATATCGGCAAAACAAAAGGACGTCACAGAGGACAGTACGCAACAGTTAGGAACGCATATGGACGACGGGTATATCCTGTTAACGAGACGTAGCACACCTTGAGCCTCAACGCGTGGGCGCGTGAGCTGCTGGGAGAGTGCTCCTTGTCGAGACGGGCTTCTCGACAAATGTACTGCTAAGTTCATGAGAGGCTGTCTGTTTCCTGCAGGTGTTTGCTTCTGGAGAAGCATGGCAATGCATTCAAGGAACCATCGCATGGCGTAGTGACGAGAAGACGAGCATGCTGCTCGCACGGTTCCAATTTTTCAGATGCAACAGTTTTTGTCTTGCGTGCTTGATAAAACAAAAGGAGAATAACCATATAACAATAGAACGGGTGCACGCATGTATGCAAAAATGACTAGTAGGTGAATATTTGAGTGCCGCGGTGTGTTCGGAGGTAGGCGCAAGGCGTGAGATGCCGAGTGGTACTCACCGGCGGCACGAAGCAGAAGGGATGACGGCATTTAGTGGAAAAGGCAGGCAGAAGGCACCGAACAAATGCTGGACCATCTAGACATGCATGCGTTGCGACAAAGAGTAGCAATGTAGCATCCCTACGCTACGCTGTAGGGCATGAAGTTTCGCAGTTTTGCCAGCTGCGAATTACACAGGTAACAGTACCAATATGTATCGTCTGCCAAAAGAAAAGAAAAAAATGAATTCATACAAATCCACGTCAATATTTTTACTTTAGCTTGTGTTTCCGGCGAAAGAACAGTAAGTAGTACATTGTGGTGTGCTGTAGTTTCATGATTTGGTGGCGAACGTTCAATGTAGGATCAATTGCATGTTCCCCTCTGTTGTTGCTGGCGGGAGGTCTTGTTCCCGAGGGTGGCGGGAGGCGCAGGAATTAAGCCGCTCAACAAAGACACCTCGCCAACATCTTCGTGCGGCAGGTGCAGAGGATTTCGTAAGTGATGCTGATGATCATGTGTTTTGTTGTTGTTGTTGTTGCTGTCTCTACAATAAATACCGTTCCGGTGTCTGTTCAGTGCTACTTGTCTCACACCTTCCACGTTCCAACTGGCGCGGACGCCTTCGGAGAGTGCATGTAGGAATATTGTACTGGCAGAAGGTAGACTGCATGACGTAATATATCACCCCCCCTGGGCCAATCTTCAAAGACCGACTACACTCCAGCTGCTAATATTCCCCAGCACAATCAGTGACAACGCCGAAAATGGCGATGTTAGAACTGTTTTGTCGAGAGGTTTCCGAAGACACATCATTTGGTTTCTGACATCCTCTTCGTCGTGCAAGAGTTGAAATCGGTCCAGGGGGCGCGGCACCTCATGCAACCTATGCATGCGGCGGCACGATAGTAGTAAAGGGAGACACATGGAGGAAATCCTCAACATTTTGTTGGGGGCGATCCAAGAGCGGTCTGGGAAGAGTTGCATCTACACTGGCAGCAGCACGAAGACCACCGCCCGTGCCTTGTAGCCGCACACAAGCACAAGCAGCTGTACAGCAGGCCGTATCTCTCCCTGGAGCCACCGTGTCTTATGTACGTCATCGGCCTTCCCAACACTGCTTGCCGTCGTCTGTTGACATATTTTTCGCGCCGCTTTTTTCTGAATATTCGCGTACGTCTGGCAACTCACATAACTGCTGCCGTGGAACGAAGCAGCCTACGCAGAGGCAGCAGAAAGGGCCTCTAAATCAAGAGAGAGCGTGCGCGTGACGGGGGAATGCTTTCGCGCCAGGGATGAGAGGTTCGCAGGGCGTCACACGCTGTGCGACGAGCAGCATGCACATGATCTTTGCGCCGGAGCGGCGACTTCTGAACGAGATTTTCAACCAAACCTCCTAGGCTTCCTTCTTCCGCCCCCCCGCAAAACTCCGTGCGACAGGTCGACTCTCTCTTGTCGCCCCCCTTCCTTGCCACCACTCACCAGAAAGGATACCGGCAGTTCGGGAGGAGTAGCAGGTTCCGGCTTGTCTGGCTCGGTAGCCTTTGTTTTCGTGTCGTCCTTGTTCGCAGCAGCAGCAGCTGCTGACTCGCTCTTCGGAGTAGCTGCGGAGCCTTTCCATCTCGCCGCCGCCCAAGAAAGTACCGGCCTTGCGGACGACTGGGGAGCCACCAAAGGCCGACCAACTACGCCTTGCACCGCCGAACGCATCGCCATGTTCAGTGTTGGTATGGTTGTGCCGGGGACAGCACTGGTCGGGGGAAAATAGAGATTGGCAGCGTATCGTGTGGCAATGTTGTGGGTGTACAGCAGTCTTGGTCGAAAAAATGCGGCATGATCGCATGATTTGAGGATCTCGGATCTCGCGTTTTTTTTTTTTCGGCCGTCAAGTTATTTTGGCCGTCCCACCTGAACCGATCAATGCCGCTGCGCCGGACATTCCGGTGCGCAAGCAATGCTGTCCAGTATGACTGTACACCCAAGGGCAATCAAGGGGGTGCTGAAAAACTGGAATGGTCCCATGTTGATGTGCCTTGTTTGCACGCACGCACTCCTATTTGCGTAGCCTGTTCGTTGCATATTTGAAGATTCAAATGGAAAATACGTACGGCCGCGATCGGGGGAGACGGAACACTCGAAACCGCGCGGGGCGTCAGTTTCATCACCCCGGCGATGTGCTTGCGAGTAAGTAGGAGGTGGACAGCTTTGTTCACGTTCGGTTCCCAAGGAAGGCGTCACCTACGTCTGGTTGTTGACGTACGTACAGTAGTCCTAGTCCGCACAAGTAGGCGCGAAACCAACAGGCGGTTTTCCCACGTGTCCATTGGCGCATGTTTGGGGGCGCGGGACCGTGCAGCACATGTTTTTGCCTCGTTATGGTTCGTGTCGACGCACCTCAACACACACACACACACACACACCGCTCTTGGTCGCATTAGGCCACCAGAAATAAGGCTGTAGCCAGAGAGGCATCCGGTGGTTTGCCCTGTGTTCCGGATGGTCAAAGAGAGCAACCTCCCCAAGCCACACCATCAAAAGCTGCGACGGACGACAGTGGGAGGAGGGCATAATAACGTCAACGGACGCGCCTCCGACTAAATGTTGTATGACTCGTGCATGAAAACTCGTGTTGTCAACTCGGTTCATTAAAGCGCAGTAAGAGGAGAGCATACGCACTGTCTCCCGACTGCTTAACCTCGCCCCCGGAACCCAACATCCGAAAAGAGAAAGAAAGAGCCAACAACCGTTACATCAACAGTGACGCGAGTCGAGTACGGCCATCCAGCCGAATGCAGCAAAACGTCGTAAAACGCCAGATGGGGAAGGTCATGTCCTCAGGCAGTCAACCGGCCTGACGAAAAAGGCAGGGGAGAGGGGGGCAACTCAAAACTCACTCCAATAGGGACCCAGAGCGAAAAAAAAAAACGAAGCAAAGGGTTGTTGGGTGGCGACCACAGCATGTTTCTAGTCCGCCCGTAGCGCCTGCTCTGCCCAAAGACCCTGTCCAGACACGCCTCTAAATTTCTAAAATATGCGCCATGCAACAGCTGCAGTAACCTTCCCCCAGTCTCCCCCCATGTACTGCAACTCTGCATACAAAATCGGGCGTGGCAAAATACAGGCACAAATCACGCGCAGTGGGGACCTTGCCGCCTGCCTGATGCGCATCCTGCCCCCCAACGTCTTCGCCTCCCCCTCAAACTACGCGTGCTCATCGTCCCCGACCGAGAGGTGGGAAAAATTTCGTGCCCTTTGATTATGATGTTTGGACTGGAGTCCCGCTACTACACTCCCCTCAACACACGCGTCCAAAAAGCACAAGAAAAAATTCCAAGAAATGTCCTCATCCTTCAGCGGGGCGATGAGATTGCACGCAGCGAGCGCCAGCGTTCCGCCAGCGACATCACGGCGGCACAACATAACCTTACGCCGATTTACGCGTGGAACGGTACGCCGCCGCCGAGCAGGAGTGACTGGTGGACGAGGCCGCCGATGGCGGACATGGCTAGGCGGCCGTTCTTGATCTCCTGCAACTGGTACTTCTCGCGCACGTCCGCGGGCTTCTCGGAGAGCTTCAGCGGGTCAAACCCGAAGTCTCCGGGCTCGTTCCCGTCCTCGTGCATGTTTTCCATGGTCATCTTCCCCTGTTTTTACCAATGGGATGGAGAGGAGAGAGATCGGGCGGGGAGGGGGGTGAGTGTGCGCACAATAACTATCGATATCGAGGAGAAGCAGCCAGAAGAGCTGCGTGTCGTGTGTCGTCCGAGGCCAAGCTGGAACACAACCGGCACGAAACGAAGTCCGTGGACAGAGTAGGATGCGACATGGAGGTCTTCTGTGCATGTCCAGCGTTCGTCAGCAGCGCGCACGGATTTCTCCGCGTGCTATCTTGCACGTGTGGCGTAACCGTGGGTTCGAAAGATCGTTTCACCGTGCAGCGCCCCTGATCCGCAAGCCACTGCCACTGCCGCCGCCGCCGCAGCAGCGAAGACACACTGAAACAGTGGTACAGCAGCGACAGTGTCCGGCGGATGTGATGATCGTTGGCTTTGGTAGAGATGTTGGCGACAGCACCGGCAAGAGAGCTAGCTTGCTAGCTACCCTCGACGGGTGCACCCTTTGAGGCGCACTCCGCACGCGGGGGAACAAGAACCAGCTAGGCCGCGAGGGTACAAGAGTTCGGTACACCACGTGGAAGAAAAAATAAGAGAAGCCACAAACCGTTTCTTCCTCTCCCGCGCAACCACAAAACAAGTGCTATCCGCGAAAACAGCGTGTACTGTGCATGCGTTTCTTCAACACAATACTCCCAACAATTTGCGCAACAGACGCGCAGGCAAACCAAGTGGTGTGTAACATAAACGCGACCCATGCATGTTCCGAGGAACGCAAAAGCATGCCGTGGAACTCGTTACATTTGAGGTCCAAAATACGCGAGTCTGGGACCATTGACAGGAAATGGGACGGTTTGATGGGCCAACTGGCATACACGTGTTAATCCTGAGGGGGAATCCCGCAATGTCATCGCCGACGCCAATCGATGGACGAAAACAGAGAGAGGAAAGCCTGGGCTTGCGTGGGAAAAATGAAAAAAGCGGCGTGATCGAGGGTCGCTTGGGGACTAAGTGACAAGCCTCATGTCCCCGTGGGTAGCCCCAAATAACGAAGCGCGGCTACATCCATACGTGGTTACGACGCACGTGCAGCGGCCTGATCCTCCTACAAAGGAGCACGTTAACAACAGAGCAGCACCCAAATTGTCATGGGGGACATGGGTGTAGCTCTCGCAGTACGCGTGCGGTGCTGGAAAAAAAACTTTTGCAGAGCTACAGCAGAGCACAATATCCTTCCGGCAAAGAAATAACTTCCAACAAAAAAAAGATGATACCCGCGGATCGCAACAGCTTCTGAGCATGGCAGTAGAGTTTGGCACTACGCTGATACGAACTTGGGTGTCGGCATGGGACGGACGAGCGAGCTGGGGGGAAGGAAATCCCCGATATAGCGGAGGCGCGGGATTTTCCCATTCACGCCTCATGTATTGTACCACCTCTCCGTGTGCATGCCCAAGAACTCATGAAGCACTCATGTTAAGCCTGCTCTCAGGAGCACCACGACATGATATTTATGGTTCGGAGGGACGCCTGTGATGCATTCTACCACAACACTTCGGTTATGAGGAAGATGTGTAATGCATATCGCTGGTCCAGGGGGGCACGAGTTCAAGCACTGGGTAAAACAACGTGCACGATTTTCGCTTGTAATACAGACTCGCCATGACTCTTCTCGAGAAAAGTGCGGTTGGATGTTGAGTCTGTCCAAACCTCGTGCGGCGTGCAGCGGCCTGGCAGCCGCAACGGGCCGCTCGACACCGCGCGCGCTTGGCGACCGAAGAGCATTCGTCTCGTACACGAGAAAGGATGGAAAAGAGACGGCGTCACGAAAGACACGAACTTCCTGAGAGAGAGCGCTACAGTAAGCGTATCCATACGTCTACAGACAAAAACGCAATGTACCGCGGAGCAGTAGCACTGCAACTCTCCCTGTACTTCACATGCAGCAGAAGAAGGAAGTAGACGAGCAAGCACTGACATGAGGTTCGAGTGCTTCGGCGTTGTTCGTGCTTCCGTGACGACATGTCTCAAAATAGGCAATGTACCTACTGCTGTATGACAGCATGCGTACAATTGGGGGTTTCGTGCACGGCATGCTTTCCGACGGGGACAACAACAGTACTTCAGCGCTAATAATGCGTACTACTTCTACGCCTCTGGGCGTAAGCATCAATCGGCCAAATCACCGCCACTTGCAGCTGCTACAACTACAGTAGCACTATTTATACAATGACGTAGAAAGTGCTTTCGTTCAAGTGACATCGAGGTGATGGTGCTACGCACTGGGGACTGCTTCTTTTCGCCTTGAGAAAAAATCTCCTGCGGGTCTTTTCGGGAATGCTGGACTTTTTTTTTTTTCTCCCTGCCGTCTGCCCCTCTGGCCCCTATCCTCCACTTCTACTAGATAGACGACCCAACCGGGGTCACATGGGAGGGGGGGGGTCGGACCCCCTCCTGCGGTTCCTGCCTGAGATACTTTTATCGTGAGAAGGGTACAGCAATCCCTTCCCTCGCGACTGATGAAATCGACCAAGTTTACTTACAAAGGGCTTTGCAGCGCGTCGCTTCCGAAGGAGACTAGGATTTAATTAGTGCGAAAAACGAACTCTGGCGGGACTCGAACCCATGACCTGGCTGCGAGTTTACCCACTAGACCACCGGGGCGACCGGAGTGTATTGTAAATGCGCGGTTGATCATGACCATGGCACCACGTGACTTGTTGTCGCGGAAGCAAACATACTAGGAGAATGCTTGTACATGTAATACATGTAAACCAGGAACAAACGTGTGAGCGTGACGCGAGCAGCAGGGTTGGTTCATGAGCAGAACCAAGACATTGTCTACATGAGTGGTGCCACCAGCCAGGCACAAATACATCAATTGAGGAGGGCTGATCTGGAGTGCTTGTTGAAGGAGGGCAGGGTGTACATGCAAAACAAGTAGGAGCTGCTCTTTGTGCCTTGCTCCTGGCGAGTCCATGCGCTCTTAACCAATACAAAATACGCAGGCTCTGGTTTCGTATGCTGCTGTCATCGTATCAGCTGCTGCCGAAAAAACTCTTGATGCAACAACACGGCGACCCCCAGGCACTCACGTTGTGGAACTTCCACTCCAGGAACCCGCAGAACAAGAAGATCTGCAACATGGGGCCGGGCCCGACCGCCGCCATAGCATCCACGGGGTTCTCCGACATGTACGCCGGCCCGGGCACGTGCACCACCTCCGACACGAGCCACCCCACCACTGCAAGCATCGCAATGCGGCCGTGCTTGATCTCGGACTCCCTCATGAATTCAACAGGGAAGATGGTCGCGAACCCGAACGGGTCGAAGCCGACGTTCCCGACCATGCCCTCCAGGTTGTCGGGCTGCTTCAAGAACGGGATGGACGCGGACATCGCGGGGGCCGCGGGCACTGGCTCTGGCGCCGCCTCCGGCTCGGCTGCGACCTCCTCCGTCATGCGTAGCGCCTTGGATGCTACGGGAGAGGTGCTGATCACCCGCGAAAAGGAGGAAGGTGCTACGAACGCCGAGGCGCAGGAAGCGCACGCCAGGCCCGCGCCTACGGTAGAGATGACCTTCATTGTTCTGTGGGTTGGAGATATGTATGTCAAACGTGGTGTAGACTAGGTCTTCTAGGTGGCGAGAGTTTGGTGCAGGAGCAACGACACCCAGGCTCGCCCCCGGAAACATGCCAAGATCAAAATTCAACCCGCCCCCCTCCCCCTATGGTTCAAAATATTCAACTACACCAACCCCCCAACAATTTTCAGAAAGAATAATCTTCAGCCCCCCCCCCCCCCCCCCCAATCAGCGGTTTCAGTTTTTTTCTGTTTTTGTCTCTCCTGCTGAAGAGGAATTCGTCATGCGACGTCGGCGCGACCGGCAACTTCTGACGAACGAATCCATGGCATCATATCATAAGCAGCGGCTAACGACTCGAGACAGCCCTCAAGGGGGTGGTTGAAGCCCTTGCCGCGAACTTTCAGCTACGCCGGCCCGAGGCTAGTTGTGGACTTTCACTACTGTACAACTGCTGTAACACTACTGCTGCTGCTGTGAAATTGACGATTGTTGGCCATTACACCATCTTGGACGTTTTTTCCGTAGGAAGCGACGATGCGGACAGCAGTTGACAACGCACCACTTAGAAGAGGAGATACCCGCCTAGAGTCGTACAAGTAGACCAATAGATAATTGTGTATACTGCGCAACAACGTGTGGATTTTGTCGGTGCTTGTACGCGGAAATACAGCAGTAGTCAACGCTCTCCAGCGATACATCAAACAGGAGCTAGTAGAAGAGTAGTGGGATGCATAACTGGCCCTGTAGCTCTGTGGACGACAACAAACGACGAAACGACGTTCGAAGTTGTACCAAGTGGACGGAGTCCGATGTAGACCACTAGAGGTAGGCCTTCAGGGAGAGAACCGTTGCCATAATCGAGAAGATGCGTGAGACTATGCGTAAAGTAACCCAGGGTGGATATGAGAGGTAGTGTAATGTACTCGAAAACGTAGTGGTGGCGGTCTACACGACCAACTGTTGCGCCATCTCAACGCGAAAAACAAGGAAGCAAAACGACGCGCCGGGCAAAGCAGGAGAAGCGCACCAGGAGTCCCATACTGTTCGTTGTGTTGCATCCTTGAAACACGGATGTATGCGTAGAAAAATGCTCTATTTTTCGTCAATACTTCGTGTTGCACATGCATAAACGCACCCGAAACAGAGATTGTTTTTTCTCTCACACAACCAGAAAGAACGTGCCATTCTTTCTTTGCACATGACAATGCATAGGCACAAAAGATAGGTTTAGGGACGGACCGCGGTACGAATGTTGCTTGCAACTCGACAAACAACTCGTACTCCGGAACAATTCGCGCGCAAGAGAGGGCGAGATGGCAGGAAGCACACAGTCCAGGAGACTAAAGACAGGGTTCCATGGAACATCTTGTCCTGTTTGTTGCAAGGGTGACACTTCTATCATTGCACCTAATTAGCAACATATGAAGTAAGTACCGGTAGACGATGCACTACTGTTGTTGTCTTCCCAATGTAAAGCAATATCTGGAACACACCTACGGTGGTGTCCGATAAAATCCATCCCCGCCCACTTTCCATCACGCGCTGGCCCGTCCACGTGGTGACAGTTGTCGCCTACCTCCTCTCTTCCCTCGCCATGAAAGTTACCGTGTGCTCGCGACAGGCAACGAGAACAAGAGAGCGGAAACGACAACACCGCAGCATCTTTCCTTCGTCGAAACACAGCAAGCTATACTCTCTCTAAAGCCAAAAGCGCAAGGTCTGTGCGGCCCAGGCGCGGGTGCGTGCGGCCCAGGCGCTTGGGGCGCAATCACGCGCGGACCAGCAACGACAACAGTATTCATTGCACGAAATCGGCACGATCGAGGCGCCAGCTTCTGCACACATCGATGTGTGCTCAACTTTCCTATCTGCGCGCAACCTGGGGGAACGAGAAATACCAGCAGAAAAGAGACCAGACCCCAGCACCAAATACAAAAAAAGCTCTAACATCGAGCGCCGGATCAACCCCGAGACATCCACCTACATACCTATCCCGCTCCTTCTCGCTGGAAAGCTGAAAACGTGTCCTTTTACAAGATAGATCCTCTCTGCGGTCCATTCTAGGCTCTCGCCTTCTCGATGTCTACACTTTCAACAAAGCAGTGCAACAAAAAGCCGTTCCGATCACGGTAACGTCATCGGGGGAAGGGATGGTGGAGAGGGGGTCTCCTAGATTGTCCTGCGACAATAAAAAAAAACTCATCTCATCTTCGCCCGTCTACTCTACGGGCACAGAAGAAAGGCCAGAAAAAAAAAAACAAGGAAAAACAAGGTTCTCCGTAGCCGAATCAATAAATTCAAAGACAGCAGCCACATAAGTAGTGGCTAAAACCTCACTCGTCTTTCAAGCATTATACGTCGATCTCTACGACGAGGTCGTTCCCCTGGATGTTGTCTCCCTCCTTCACATGCAGCGCCTTGACGATGCCGTCCGCAGGGGATGCCACATTCGTCTCCATCTTCATCGCCGACAACACCAGCAGCGGTTGCCCCTGCTTGACCGTCTCGCCCGGGTGTACCTGCCCGGGAACGACGGTCGTTGAGTTTTTCATGGTCAGTAGGTTTTCGGGGTCATTTCAGTCCGTTTTTTTTTTTTTCGTTCCGGTTTTGGTTCTTCGGCGGCTCCTCTCGTTGCGCGCCGCATCCCAACACTCTCTCTACTCCTTTGCAACGGAGTACAGGAGGACAGAACGCCCCCGCTCCAAATAACCCTCTACTTTCGGCCGATGCTGGGGGTTCTTAATGTAGTCCCAGGGTAAAGCTACGAATGGTCGCCATATAGGTTTTGGTGTGGGGGTTCTTAACCGAGCCCACAAATGGTGCTCAAGTTCGTAAATTTTGATTTTTTTGGCGCTCAACTTCTTAACTTCTGGGTTCTAGATTACGTGCGGGCGCGTTCTGTAGTGGGGAAAGGCCTTGCTAGTCGTCCAGAGGGGACCGACCTACAATGCAGAACGCGCCCGCCCCAAAGAACCTCCATTACGGTTTCGGCTGAGGCTGGGGTTCTCAGCCCAACTCCGTAACTGCTGGGTTCTAGAGAACGTCCGGGCGCGTTCCGTAGTAGAGAAGGCCTTGCTTGTCGTCCAGAGGGGATCGACCTACAATTTACGTTGATTTTTTTCTGTTTGGTTGGTCGGCCCCTTCGTTGGGCACCCCATCTCTGCATGTCCAGCAACACAACCTTAGTGGTACTTCATTGAAGTGGTGCCTATAGAGGGGCAGAGATACTCCATATGCCAAGTGTTTCGACGTCGCCAATGCCTGTGGCCGTGCGCCGCAAATCCTACCAGAAATCACGCCGACAGCCCGAGCATCACCGAAGAAAGAGGGGGGGGGGCGCGTAGTCGGACAAAAAAAAAAACACAATTCAGGGGACGGTGTGGTTGCTCACGAGAACCCCAAGAGACGAGAAAAACTCGCCGTCGATCGCCCACATAAACAGCAAACGTACTACAGCAGTCGGGGGGGGGGCTGCGTAGTGCCAGTGCCGGGTTATTCGGCTGGCACAGACGAAGTCAACAAGTCATTCCGCACTTACTTTGCAACGTGCCGATGTCCGTTATCGTGCCGGTTATGCGCTAGGCGCATACGCACTATGACAGCCCCCTTCTGCTGCGGTATGTGTATCAAAATAAAAATATTAATGATAACAATGCAAATAACGCACCTTGATTCCGACCACCACGCCGGGCATGGGGGCCCCGACGGATCCGATGACGGAGTCGTCCGCCTTCCCGCGAGCGGTGATCGACCCGGCAACAGACTTGTCCTTCACGCGCACCACGCGGGGCTGACCGTTGAGCTCGAACGTCACCTGTGTTGCGTGTGCGGTGCGGCGTTTTCGTATGTCATTATTCTTGATTTAGGCAGTCGCGGGCTCTTGTCTGTGGGACATGGGGGGTGTGGGTGACAATTATACGTGGCCGAATGCCCGGGTTCAAATCGGGGGTTGGGAGGGGCGGCCAGCGAAAGCCGAGACGATCGCACGGCTGTACCGACTCTAAGACTGCTGTTACTCTCAGTTGGATAACGTTCTGCTGGAGAGGAGGGGATAAATGCCGTGTTTATTGCTGCTACGAACTACAACTACCTTCAAGAGAAGACATGGGGCGTATCAATAAATAGTTGGTTGTAGTCGATGACATCGCCATGATAGATGGGTCGACGATCAAAGCCACCACAGCACTCACGCTGCGAGACCCTTCCTCGTCGGGCTCCTGCACGCTCATCAGCTTGATGAACAGCACCTGTCGGACGCAAAAAACGAAACCAAAACACGGCAAAAAAACGGACACAACAGTTAATCGACACCTGTGACAAAGATCTGGTGAATACGTCGGTTTCTGGCCACGGTGAACACGGTCGATCACGATCCATAAGAACCACCGATGTGAACACGCCTGACAACGGGGGTAGGAAAAAAGACCGAGCTGCTCAGCTCGAATGACGTTCACGGAGACTTTGGCCCGGTCAAAACAACCCTCCCCGCAGACAAACTCGAGCATGTATCCGAGCCACATGTGCACCGGCTGCTGCTATATTCCGCATCTTTCTCAAGCGAAAACTAGATAGTAATATAAGCAAATGGCGACAAAGGAAACACGACACCTGCTGCTGCTGTTGCAGATGTTACCGTGTCTCACCTTTCCGTGCTCGATTTCCACCGAAATCTCCTGCAGGACCATCGACGAGGTCGTTGAACGCGGGACAGGCCACGAGACACAAGCGGGCAACACAAAGGGGGAAAAGGGAACATCCCGACAGATGTCTAGCGTGAGGAATGACACAAGGCGGTGAGACAGAGCACGGTTCGGCTAGTTCCGACACAAACCACAACCACAGCAATAACGGCAGCAACAGTCGGTAGAAGGCAACACTGCGGGCTCGCACAACGTCGGCGGGGGCCTCGTGCACCTATTTAGTGATGTACCTCGTACCGAGCAGTGCGACAAACGCCACGAACCACCACAGCGAAAACAAAAAGAGAGGCCAGTTGACAAAAATGCGGCGGGAATGGAGCCCCTACCTGCCCCGTCTTCATGCCCGAGACGAATGTCCTCGTGTCGAGGATCGACAGGTCCCCGTGCTCCTCACGGAACTTGGCAAACTCCTGCGGAGCGGACAAACGAAAAGAGAGAAACCCCCACGAAGGCAAAATTGTGAGATAGGAGAGAAGCGCTGAGGGTAGCCAGAGAGAGAGCCAGAGAGAGACCGAGAGAGAGACAAGACAAGAGACGAGCCCAGAGACGAGGCGGGGAGGCATGTGGAAAAAATGGACGGATGTGCGCAACGCTTCTGAATGTATGGGCGGTATTCCCGACCGCAACTTGCAGAAGCGACATGACAACAGCAGTAGTGTTCCTCAACACTGGAGCAGAAACACACGTATGAGGGTTTAGACGCTCGGCGATTATCATACATTTGGGATACCGCATGCCTGGGGGTTGTGCTTGAGGGGGATCGGATCGGAAAGCTTGCGACTCAACGACACCGATGCCAGTGCAACGATGTCAACCCAACACATGCCCTCCGCGTTGGTTCTTCATAGAAGAAAACGCTGTCCCCTTTGGGGCGAGAGGCCGCCAAGCCGCAGTCATTGGCGGCAGCGCACGACTCGGTTCAGCCAAGAATCAGGGCATCTCGAACGTGAACAGCACTCACGCATCACAGCGCCACAAAAAAAAAAGAATGGAAATGCACGAACACAGGATGAAACTATGAGCGAGAGATGACAAAAGTCGAGCGAAACAAAATTAAGAGAAAAAAAGGAGGCATGGTTTTATTCATTCCCCTTATGTGTACCTTGAAGACCGCCGGGTACTGCGCGTGGCTGATGAGGTCCTGCTCCGTCACCGCAACACCGTGCTCTCCGACCAGCTGGCGCATCTGAGGGGTGCCAAGACACGACGGTAAAACATCGGAAGGAGAAAGACGGCAACGACACAGGGAGAGAGAGAAAACACACGCAAACTCAAGTACAAGCCTGAGAGAAAAAAATATCATGAAAGTGTGTGAGTGGAGCTGAGTGATTTACGGCATCCCGTAACGGGGAAAAAGAATGTTGCAGAATGGAACAATACGGCATCCCAGCAGAAGAGATGGACCAGAAAAAACTAAAACAGCAGGGAGGCACTGGCATCCGGACGAGATTGTAACGAACGACGTTTCGAAGCATTTAGTGCCATGCACACGACCCAGAAACAGCCAGTCTGCCGAAAGGTATACGTTCACGTGTACGGGTACACTGCTAGAGGTCGTCCATGCTCGGCCGGCCCACAAGCGGACCGATCCATTACTCCAGCACGAACATCCCTCACCAACCAACTGGCACGCCTAAATACACAAAAAAAAAACACATATCACCAGAAGTTTCTGGTGTTCCTACAGACCTGGAGGACGCTTTCAGTGAGCACTGTGGGTTGCGTGGTGAGCGATACTAGTGCAATACAACAGTCATCCGTACAGAAGGTCTGACGGAGACTCGGTGGCTCGGTAGTGTGCATGCACCCTTTGCTTGTGTGTATCAACTGTTTGGATGACGCACGGGGCCCGGAACACCATCATGATGACGACGCAATCCATTCATCTTACTCCCTAAACGCAGGACGCAATCCATCCAATTTACCTCCTTCGGGAAGTCGTAGTCGGGCATCTCCGCTCCCGGGCGACCGTCGAAGCAAGACTTGCCGTTGGGTAGGGTCTTGCCCTTGAGAACC